TCATCAGCCGAGGTACCGCAGCGCTGGGGACTGGGGGCTCGGCCCGGACCCCAGGGGCCCGGGCGGGGAACTGGGAGTAGGGGTGGGGGGCTGCATCCAGGGCGGGGAAGGGGAGGCCCCGAGAGACGCCGAGGTCTGGGCCGGGGGCTGCGTCCTCCGGCCGGGAAGGGGGTCCTTGGATGTCCGGATCCGTGCCTGGGGCCAGGGGTCAGCGTCCCAAGCCGGAGCCTGGGCCTAGGGTTGGGGGTCTGCTTCTCCCGGTGTGCGAGAGGGTCGCGGACACCTGGTCCCGGCCTGGGGGCGGGAGTCTGCAGCTCTGGATCAGGGAGGGGGGCTCAGACACTGAAGTAGGGTCCCTGGGCAGGATCTCTAAACAGAGTTGGGGTGAGGGACGGAAAATGATGCCCCATCAGGGGTCTTTGTCGTCTCTGCGTGGAGAGGGTCCCTGAGGAGGTACTTGCCTGGGGGCTGGGGTATGAGACTCTGGGCAGAGGTGGGGGGATGAATGTCTTCCCAGGGTCAGCGAGAAAAGGGGACAAGGGTGTCCACAGACCCAGGTCGCAGGGCCAGGAAAAGAGGGAAAGGGGCTGAAATTCTCCACTAGGTCATTTAGGTTGAGAGAAAGTGTTGGTATTTGGGGGTTGCAGTTATGTGGGGGAATGAAGCTGAGGATCCAGGAAGTTGGGGTGCTGGGCTGGGGACTCAGATTTGGGAAGCTCGATTGAATATCTGGGTTCCTGGGCTGGACAGAGGATGAGAGATGGGTGGATGAAGGATGGGGGCCACTGGAAGAGTGGGGAAGGGAAGGATTATTGCAGGGTCAGAGGGTTAACATCAGCTCTCCCAGTTGGGGAGGGAGCCTGAGGGCAAGGTCTGTGGGGCAGGGAGGGGAGTCTCTGCATGGAGGCTGTGTAGCTGGACCTCGCGTCTCCCCAGCACGGCCTGTCAGGGAGGGGTGGTCGAGGAGATGACCCCTTAGGAAAGGGGGGGGGAAGAGCAAGAAGGCTGGAGGCTGGCGGGGTGGGTGTTCAGGGAACGAGTTAATTCAGTGTTTCTGGAGCATTCCCCTGGGCCATACCCTGAACCGAGAATCACATAGTCAGGGACACACAATCGGGGACAGCCAAGAGCCCCAACAGAGAGACCCCAACAGTCTCAGGGAGGCAGCCACTCTTGGCCTCCCACGTCCAGAGCCACAGAAAAACTGTCGCAGTGTCCCACCCAAAGCTGTGCCTGCAGACACCCATAGTCACAACCACAGCCCCATCTCCCCAGGACGCCCACGTCCCCCACATGGAGAATGAAGGAGGCCTGGGCCAGAGTGGGCCAGAGCATCAGTCTCTTGCTGGTGCAAACCTGCTGAGTGCTTCCCCCGTAAATGGTCTGAATCTCTTGTCTGACTTTCTGACCACCAGTCTCTCTCTCTCTCTTTCTCTCTTTGTCACTCATCTCTTTAGGTCTCTGTGTCTCGGCCATTTCCAGAGACTCCTGGGCCGTGCTGTCTCTGTTATTTGCTGGTGACATTTCATCTGTCTGTCTCTGGGTCTTTGTCTCTCCATCCCTGCTGGTCTCAGCACAGTTTTTTTTTTTTTTAAAGATGACCGGTAAGGGGATCTTAACCCTTGGCTTGGTGTTGTCAGCACCACGCTCAGCCAGTGAGCCAACCGGCCATCCCTATATGGGATCCGAACCCGGGGCCTTGGTGTTATCAGCACCGCACTCTACCGAGTGAGCCACGGGCCGGCCTATCAGCACAGTTTGACATCTGTCTCTCCCTGCCACTCAAACTATTCCCTGCTGTCACCGCACGTGAGTCTCTCGTCACTTGCTAGCTCCCTCACTCATGCCTTAGTCCTCATTCACTTCTGTTTCCTTCCTCCTTTCTCACTCACCGGCCACCTCTTATTTCTCTTCTTGTCCTTGCCTCGTACCTCCCTCCTCCCCCTGTTCCCTCCCTCTCTTTGTACCCTTTGTGACCTCTCTCCCTCTTCCTCCCTCCCTCCCCTCTCTCTCTTTCCTTCTCTTTCCCCCTTTACTTTCAAGGTAACTTCCTACTTTCCACTTTCACTCTTCAGGACCCCAGAAATCATTATTGTACACACTCCTGAGGAGAAGCTATAGCAGAGTCACGAGGTGGCCTGTGACCTTGGTCAAGTCCTCTCCCACCTCTGGTCTTAGGTTTCCTACCTGAGAACTGAGAGCAAGAGGGGATGGGTTTGGGGTGAGCCAAGACAGAAGTAGGTGCCAGAAAGACAACTCATCCACCACCCCGACAGTTTGAGCTGTCTGGAAAAAAGCCCACAGCAAGATATGCAAAACAGCATCTTCTCTCCCCTCTTTTATTCATGTTTTCCTACTAGAGGAGGAATGCATGCAGGAGAAGCAATCCACCCCCAATTGGTACAAGAACAAACCCCAAAAAGCCCACATGCCCGTGCCCCTGCCCCTCCCTCACACCCACTCTCTACACTCCTAGAGAGAACCTGGAATCAACAGCTGGAGTGCATCCTTCCATAGCTTTCTCTAACTTGCACAAACTCAGACAGGACACACAGAGATCAATACATGTAAAGGATTTGTTGATCCGTTGATGTTTTTCCTAAAATAAAAACAAAACAAGCCCATTTCTCTACAACTGACTTCCCCCCACCTAATGACACCTCCCTGGCATCCATAAATACTAATCTATCTTTAATTTTTTTCTAGGTATTTTTATGCCAACACACACACACTCATACTTACATATTCACTTACAAAAGTAGCTAAGTTGCATTTTAAAACCATTCAACAAAATCGATGGACAGTTTTAGCTGCAGCAAGTGAGATGGGCGGTTCCTTTGCTCCTTGGGTAACTGTTGGGGCAGTGGTGGACAGGAGTGGGCGGGCAAGCCCAGGCCTCGGTGCTGCCCCAGAACAGCTTGCAACAGGACTTCTGAGCTCCTGGTTGGTCTGGGTTGTGGGATCTGCTACACTGGTTCATTTAGCAAATGTTTATTGAGCACATCGTTGCTGTTCTAGGCACTGGGGTAATACCAGGGGTCTTCAAAAAGTACATGGAAAGATTCGTATCATCTTTTAATTCTATTACATGAACTTTTAAAAGAAACCTTGTGTGTATATATATATATATATATATATATATATATATATATATACACACACACACACACATACACATATGGCAGTGATCAAACCAGATGAAGTCACTGTCCTCATGGCGCTTATATTGTCACGGGACAGAGAGAG